CTTTCTAGAGCATAGAAAATGAAGAGAATTTTTTCAGAAATATTAGCTACTTTGAGTGGTGGGAAAAGATTTTTTAAAAATCTAAATCTAAGCATAGCCTTTCCAATACTAAAATATTCAAGAAATATCAGAAGCACATATTCAGCCATGAGAACAAAATGTCTGAAAGGCTGAGCCCACTGATTAATGGACACCAGTCAACAGGGAGACCAGTGAACACAGACAGTGCATGTGGAGATGAAATACCTTTCCTATTTGTGACATACCCATAATTCTGCAGAATATCAATGAAAATTTGCTTTGATGTATTTTATATTTGTTACAATAATAAAGGCACAATTTATTTTGCTTCAATTCTATATCAGCACTTAGGAAAATCTTCCAGCTCCTCTTTGACTTATGGAATATAATGTCCAAAACACACTACAAATGCACACTTAGGGCAATTTACATGTAAAATATAATCATCTCAAGATAATTAACTTCTTGAATCTGCATTTTCTTCATACTGAAAACAGTTATCACCTAGCAATTTTCATGTTTATAATGCTAATTTATCTTTATGTTATCTTAACTATTACTGATTGCCAAAAGTGATTTAAGTGGTTTAGCTGATGTTAAACAGAATCTAACAACTTTTAAGAATTCAAAATCTATTGAATGAATGAAAACAAAAATTGATGTACAATAGAATTTTCATAAAAATTTGTTTTATCATTGGGAAAAGAAGGTAAAATCTCTAAGAGCCACTATGAAGTCACTTACAAATAATTTGATTAAACACAGCTAACTAATTTTCTACTGGACTGTTAGAAGTTCTAAAGTAAGCCAAAGACTGTGGACAATGATTAATTTGATAAAGTCATTAGAACCAAAGGATCTAGAGAATAAAGAGTTTGGTAGTATTATTTCTAATTACAAAGTATTTTTTGTTTTGATCAGTCAGATCTCTTGTAGTCCAGACTGGCCTACAACTTGCTATGTACCATGAACTCATGATCCTCCTGTCTTCACTCACTACCTAAGTGGTAGATTTACAGGAATGAGCCAAAATTCCTACTCCTTTTATATAGCAGGAATATATATTTTATATATTCCTACTCCTTTTATATAACATTAACTTTGTTAGATTTCACAGACGATAAAATAAACCTTTGAGAAAATCATGACTAAAAAGTTATTACAATATGAATGACAAACCCAGCCTTCTATCATGCCATTATGGGTATGCACTGAAGTTTACAAATGAGAAAATGTCCTTTCAAAGACAAGTTGATGCGATCCTGATTAATAATTTTAAAAAATTGTCTCAAACATGGATTCCATTGTCCTATCTGGTGTGGCAGCATTATTTGAAGTGCCAAGTTTTGTTATACTGTGTCTTGTAGTTTACAAGAAGACTCAGAAAGATGCATTTGGAGGAAGTGTCCAAGATGCATATTTGAAACTATGTAATACAAGAATGAGTCAAAAGTATAGATTGTATGGTGGCTGAATAATTTGTGTTAGGTGGGATATGCTGACCCATTATATCTTAGATTAAACTATTAATTTGACTTTGGCTAGTGTCATCGAGAAAGGGATCTCAATTGAGAGATTTCCCAGATCATACTTTCTTATGGGCATGTCTGTGAGTGATTGTCTTGACTGTTATTGAAGTAAGAGGGCCTAGCCCACTGTGGGTGACATCATTCCTCAGGTAGGCAAAGCTAGCTAAGCTTGAACCAGTAAGCCAGCAAACTCTGTGGTTTTAACCTCAAGATTTTTCTTGAGGTCCTACCTCGATTTCCCTCAGTTATGGACAGTGATCTACAGATACTAGCTAAATAAACCATTTTCTCCTCTAAGCCGTTTTGGTCAGAGTATTTTAGCATAGGAACAGAAAGGAAAACAACATAGATACAAGTATCTGAAGGAACATGAATTAACATTAAGCTGTTGAAGTAAAACTAGAACTAGCACTTAGAAAGCAAATGTTTAGTAGAAAAGAAAATATTTAATAAGAATATCCTAATAATGCTGCTATGAACATAGTGAAACAGACATCCTTGTTGTATGAATGGGCATCTTTTGGATATATGCCTAAGAGTGGAGTTGCTGGGTCTTGTGGTAGGTTTATTCCCATTTTTCTGAGGAATCTCCATACTGATTTCCAAAGTGGCTGAACGAGTTGGCACTCCCACCAGCAATGGAGGAGTGTCCCCCTTTCACCACATCCTCTCCAGCATAAATTGTTGTTGGTGTTTTTGATTTTAGCCATTCTGACAGGAGTGATATGGTATCTCAGAGTTGTTTTAATTTGCATTTCCTGGATGGCTAAGGATGTTGAGCACTTTCTCAAGTGCCTCTCAGCCATTTTAGACTCCTCTATTGAAAATTCTCTATTTAGTTCTGCAGCCCACTTTTTAATTGGGTCCTTTGGTGTTTTGGAGACTTGCTTCTTGAGTTCTTTGTAAATTTTGGAGATCAACCCTCTGTCAGATGTGGGATTAGTGAATATTTTTCCCATTCTGTGGGCTGCCTTTTTGTCTTGCTGACTGTGTCCTTTGCCTTACAGAAGCTTCTCAGTTTTAGGAGGTCCCATTTATTAATTGCTGATCTCACTGTCTGTGCAACCTAGATGTCCCTCAACCGAAGAGTGGATAGAGAAAATGTGGGACATTTACACAATGGAGTACTATTCAGCAGAAAAAAAACAATGGAATCCTGAGATTTGCAGGCAAATGGATGACACTAGAAGAAACCATCCTGAGTGAGGTAACCCAGTCACAAAAAGAGAAACATGGCATGTACTCTCTCATATATGGATTTTAGACATAGACTGGGGAGTGCAAGCCTACAATCCCATGGCCAGAGAGTCTGGCAAACAGAAACTTCATTCAGCGGCTGATGGAAGAAGAGGCAGACTCCCCTCGGTTAGGTACTGAGCTGAACTCAAGAAAGCCAGTAACCGAGAGGGAGGACTGATGACCAAAGGGATTAAGACTGGGCTGGTTTAACCCCCAGAAACAGCTGACCTGACAAAGGTTAACTCTTGAATCCCAGGCATCAGCCTGGGAATCCAGCATGGGACTGATTAAGACCCCCTGAATGTGGGTGTCAGTGAGGAGGCCTAGGTAATCTATTGTGCCTTGGGCAGCAGATCAGTACTCATCGCGAGTATACACACGGACTTTGGACTCCCATCCAACAATGTGAGGTGCACTCTCACCCTGAACTCTTGGGGGAGGGTCTAGGCCCTGTCCTGTATGAAATGACAGACTATGGACACCCCCATGGAGGGCCTCACCCTCCCTGGGGAAATGAGGGGATAATGGGGGGGGTTGGGGGAGGGCACGGGAGGAGGGGAGGGAAAGGGAGAGGGACCTGGAACTGACTTGTGAAGGAACCTTGTTTCTTATCTAAATTTAAACTGAAAAATAAATTAAAAAAATAAAGGAATATACTATGGTGTAGTGACTGAGCTTCTCTAAGCATTATCCATACTGAGGACAGGAGGTGGTACAGTGACTGGGAACATGTAGGTAATGGAAAGAAATAATCAACTGCTATAAAAAAATAAGATGGTTCTTACTGTGTCTAGCATAGTTAACTCATTGCTGAGGAATTATTCAGAGTTATTCAACTAATATAAAAACATCTATTATGGTCCTACTGTGTGCAGATACTCAGTTGAGAACATAAAAGTAGAAAAACAAAAGTTTCCGGATTTTTATTTTCATTATCTGGGATTATATGGATAGTAAACAAAGAAGTAGGTCATATATCAGGATTCAGGGACAAGAGAACATAAGAAGAGACACAGAAAAGTAAAACTTTAATAAAGGTCAGGAAACCTACAGAAAGAAAGCAGTATTTTAGAAAAGAGGCATTAGTTTCTTTAGCATTTTTAGAATTAACTTTATTATGACATCCAATAGAAAAGAGACAACAGCAATGGTATACAATATAATCTGAATGCCATTTCATCACAGTGACATGGGTTATATTGTATACCCCTAAAATTTGTGTGATTATCTCAAAATATGTTTGTGAATGGGTTCTATAAGACCTAACTCTCTGAAATACCGTCACTAAGTTAGTTTAAACTGAGTATCAGAGGTGATTCTAGGGATTCCCTTTGGGTAAAAGGAGGAGCTGGCACACACCAGCAATAAAAAGGGAAGACAATGTGATGACATGGGCAGAAGACAGATATCCCCGAGCCTCAGTCGACATTAACTTTATCTCAGCCTTCTACCTCCAGATCCAGAATGAATTACACTTCTATTGTTTCAACCACTTGGTCTGTGGTACCTCATTATGGGAAACTAAGCAAACACATAAGGAATTTGCCATGACTATATGAACACTGCATAAATATAAAAGATTGCACTAGCCTGAGTATTAGAGCAATTTAAAATCTTTTAAAGACTTCTATATTTAAAATTTACACAGAGAGATTTTTTTGTTTTCCTGTATTTACTTTTTTAATCTTGAATTTTATTAGAAGTCAGAAACTGAATCCCATTACACCCTGGTAAAGAGTGAACAAAAATAACAAGGACTCCACACCTGTTAATAGCATGCACTAAGGAATTTGCAAGCTTTCAAGACACAGAAAACATTTTATTAGGATGCATATAGTTCAACTTTATTACCTTTGACCAAGTCCACATGGCAACCAATACGCTCTTAGAATGTGCCTATGCACTAGTAACAACTAATCTCAGAGGAACTCATTGCCACCTCAGTCAAATTTTTCACAGCAATTAATTACTGCCTCAATCAACTTTCCCACAGCTGCCCAAAGATCTTAATATAGCATTGCTGTATATTTTGTAAAGTGGTCACCTACTGCTGTAATAACTCTTCTGCCACATATAGAATAGTGAATGCATTTACAGTATTCTTTATAAAAAGAATGCTTATTTTTGTTTTTTGTGGATTTCTCTCTCTCTTCTGCCACCTGCCTCTGCATGTTACAGATTTAACAAAAGCAAATATATTAATATACTTACAGGTTCTGTTAATTTAGATGGTTTCTCAAAATCTTCACCTTCCTCCATGAGAGTTTCTTCAGTTCCAGGTAAAGAATCTATGTTAATTTTTAAAAATAGAAGTTACACATTGCCTTTGCATTTTATACACACACACACACACACACACACACACACACACACACACACACACACACACTATATGCAATGAAAAACTGTTTTCCCTTAACAGTCTCACTGGTTACAAAAACCACACTGAAGGGCAGGCCTTATGCCCAGCAGTAGATGACCAACACAAAATGAACTCAATGTATTTTTGCACGTTTTTTTTGTTTGTCTCATAATGTTTTTTCTGGGCATTTTTTAACCCTATAGGTCTTTTACTTATCTATTATTGTTTCCGATATTAGGTATTTATGGGATTTCTGTGTATGAAAATATGTATTTTCCTGTGTCTGTATGTGTTGTACTCTTTCTTTGGCCCCTTTTCTTTCTATTTGTTTTGTTCTATTCAGTTCTCTCTTAAATCAGATGAGGAATTGTGAAGGAGACAATGTGGGTGTAAATTATTTTATGATGGAGATCTTTTAATTTTTTATTAATTAATCAAGTAATTAATTTTTCCCAGCTGGATCACAGTTTCCTCTCCTTTTTTTCCTTCCTGCCCCTCCCCTCACCCTCATTTTCCCCCATTTACTCCCTCTCCCTTCCCTTCCTGAAAAGTGCAGGCCTCCCATGTATACTTGGGATATCAACTTGCAGCAAGATTAGGCACCTCCTCTCCCATTAAGGCTAAATGAGGCAACGCAGTGGGAGGAAAGGGTCCCAAGAGCAGGCAATAGTCTGACACAGCCTACCCACCTCATTCCCTCTGCCAAAAAGACCAAGCCACATAATTGCAACACATGTGCAGAGGGCCCAGGTCAGTCACAAGCAAGGTCTCTGGTTGATGGTTCAATCTCCATGAACTCCCATGAACCCAGGTCAGTTGGCTCTGCATGTTTTCCTGTGGTATCCTAGGTCCCTCTGGCTTCAATAATCCTTCCTAGTATCCTTGCACAGGATTTCCTGAGGTTCTCCTAATGTTTGGCTGTGGGTCTCTGCATATGTTCTCATCAGTTGCTAGGTGAAGCCTCTCTGAATAGTAGAGGTTTTGTCTATCCACTGTATCAAGCAAGTTGTGACTGTTTAGTGTAAATATTAGAGAAGTGGGTGAATGGTCGCCTTCAATTACACTAATAACATGGTGTGAACCCCTTCATATGGCTGCCAATTTAGGTTAATTAGTGCAGGATAGAAAGATATTTATGGTTGCTAAAGAATTTGACAATACTGATAAATTATATGTAATATCTATAAGTAATCTATATCAGGTGCTGTCTACTTCCATAGTTAAATTTGATTTCATAAATCAGTTTAGAGGAAAGTATTTTAGACCACTGGATTTCATAAACTTGATTCTTATATGTATTAATATTAAGAGAGCCCTCATCAAAGAAGCTTCTCTTTATAACAAATGAAGACCAATACAATAAACTGAAACTAGATACAATGCAGAGATCAACAGATCATAGGAACCCCTGCCCTAATGTATGAACTTACACCACAGCTCCAGCCTGTGTGGCTTAGGAAATATGGCAGAAGAGGGGGCTGAAAGAATTTAGGAGCCCAAGTACCAGGGAGTGTGCTATACAACAGTCTCTGCTAGAAATAGATACATAAAAAAGACTGAAACAATGATGACAATATCAATACACATGATAATGTGTAAGGGAGAAATTTTTATGTTACCTACTGCTAGTTAAAGAACTATAGGCAATTATTGACATCTGGGAGAAGAATAATTAGGCTCTCCAAGAGATAAGTTCATAAGTTCTCTCATTGAATATCAAATACAGAGTGCTCAGCCCTGAAACCATATGTATATATATGTATATATATATATATATATATTCAGCTTGTATTTATATATTTTGAGTACATATGCATCAATATATAATAATAATCAGATAAGAATAATTAATTTCAAGGGAGGACATGAGAAGGGTTAGAATGAGGGTACCTTGAAGATGCTGGAGGGTGGAAAGAGGGAAATTTTTCTATTTTAATTTAAAATGTATTTTTAACTCAGTACAGAAAAAATCACTTAGACTCATGAGCAAATAGAGACAGATTTTTAATGCATGAAATAAGTGTTTTGGGGGAGAAATTAGAATATGAAAATTTCTAGTTCCTTATGGCCAAGGAGTAGGGAGACCATGAAAAACTTGGCACAAGTCCAAGTTTGTAGCTCATGGCATCTCTATCTCTGCTAATTCAGAGTGTTTCATTCAAGACAGGCTAGCTGATTTCTTGGGCACAAACTTATCTCTATATAAACATAGATAGTGTTGTAGAACACAGAGTGCCCTCCACTAGGATACTAACTCTGGGGAAAACATAAATTAAGATAATTTACCTACAACACTTCTAAACAGAATAGAACCATTAAAAGTAGCATATTTTAGTTGATAAAATTAAGATGGATAATGAAAAATGCACCAAGTTAAAAAAAATAGCCATTCAGTCTCAAAGAATACTTCGGCACCCATCTACTAAAACAAACTTGTAACGGCTTATAAGCTAGTATGGAAAGACCCATTAAATCAGGATGAAAGTTGAACTTCATTTGCATCTTCTAAAATTAAGTTAAACTCTGGCCACGGAAATAGGTAAGTTAACTCAATATCTTCACCTCTCCCTCCTCTCCACCAAGCGCAATCCCACAGTCTCATCACCAGTTCCATAGAACATCTTCTGCTGTGATCTCTTCTCACTATCTCTCTCCACATTCCCAGGGGACTAACTAAGTAGATCCTAGTATAACACTCTCCTTCTCCCTCCTGTGAACCCCCTCTCCACACCCCAGTTCATCCACATTCCTGACTGTTAGTTTCTAATACGCAGGAACACATTCTTACTTGTGGCTCCACTGGCTACACCAACAAAGAATGAAGGGAATTTCCCACAAGGGAACACACAGACATCACATTCTTCTAAGAACTAGAGAGGAAACAGAAACCAAGAAATAAGGATACACCTAACAAAAACAAGACCACACATCAGCACTAGAATTAAAATCCCAATTCCAGGGGCTTAGATACCAGTGCAAAACATAATCAATAACAGCCAGGATTATATGTCCCCACTTACACTTTGCAATCCTAACATAATAGACCCTGATTTCCAGTGTTTCAAGTAAAGTATAGAAATAAAAACAGCATGGTGCCTGGAGCTGGTGGCACACACCTTTCATCCTAGCAGAGGCAGGTGGATCTCTGTGAGTTTGAGGCCAGCCTGGTCTACAAGAGCTAGTTTCAGGACAGTCTCCAAAACTACACAGAGAAACCCTGCCTTGAAAAACCAAAAATAAAAATAAAATAATAAAATAAAACAGCATGGTATTGGTACAAAAACAGACATGTTGATCAATGGAATCAAGTTGAAGGCCCATACGTATATCCACATGCCTGATTTTGATAAAGAATTCAGAAACACGCACCAAGAAAAGATAGCATCTGCAAGAAATGGTGCTGGTCAAACTGGATGGATGCATGTAGAAGAATACAAATAGATACAAAATTATTACCTCACATAAAACTCAACTACAAATGAATCATAGACTTCAGCATAAAACCAGATACACTGAAGCTGTTGGAAGACAAAGTGGAGAACAGATTTGAACTCATTGGTTCAGTGAAAGACATTATGAAAAGAAAATCATAAGCACAGGCAGTAAGATAAATAATTAATTAACAGGACCTTATGAAACAAAGAAGTTTCTGCATGGGAAAAGACATTGTAATTTGGCCAAAGCAACAGCCTACCAAGTGGGAATTTCTTTTTACCAATTACACGCCTGTTTTAGGACTGATATGCAAAATATATAAAGAACCCAAGAAACTAGACACCCCCCAAAATTAAACCTATTCAAAAATGGGGTCCAGATCCAAATGGCTGAGAATACTGAGGAAAATTTTAACAAAAAGTATTCAGCATCCTTAGCCATTAGGTAAATGCAAATCAAAACTACTTTGAGATTTCATCTTACATATATCAGGATGGCTAAGATTAATAAAACAAGTGACAGATCATGCTGACAAGAATATGGAGTAAGAGGAACGCATATCCATTGTTGGTGAGAATGCAAACATGTACAGCTATTATGAAAATCAGTGTAATACCTACTCAAAAAGATGGGAATTAATCTACCTCAAGATCCATCTATACCACTCTTGAGCCTATATCCAAAGTATGCTTCATCTTGCCACAAAAACATTTGCTCAATTATCTTCATTGTTGTTGTATTCATAATAGCCAGAAATTGAAAACGACCTTACTGTCCTTCAACAGAAGAATAGATAAAGAAAAATGTGGTACATATTGTCATGAAGTATCACTCAGTCATGAAATTTGCTCACAAATGGATGCAACTAGAATAAAATATATCCTGAGTGAGGTATCCAGGCCCAGAAAGACAAATATGGTATATATTTGTTTATATGTGGGTATTAGTTGTTGATTCAATGATAACCAAACCACAATCCATAGAACCAAAGAAGTTAGGAATAGAGTAAGGGACTAGAGCGCAAAATAGATCTGATTATAAAAGTGAAATACAATAGATAATTAGGATAAGTGGGGGAACTTGAATAGAAGGATCAAGTGGGGAGGAGCAGAGAGGGATTGATGAAGAGAAAATAGGGAGAGTGCTGAAAGTAAGGGTCATTTGGGGTTAATATGGAAATAATGCAGTAGACACCTCCTGAAATACATATCTAAAGGAAATTTCCAAATAATTGGAGAAAGAGCCCCAATGGGCTATCTTGTCAGCAAATGAAGCTTCTAGTACCAGGATTGGCCTATATTTAATAGAGTAGTTGGCCAAAGACTCCATGGGAATGCCAAACAAGTTAAGCTATTGCCAGACTATAGATCGATGTCCTCAAAGGGACAGCAAGGTCTTATTGCTGAAGACAACACCTACACAACTCATTAAACATGGAGAACTTGAACTGATACCTATATAGAGCTTTTAACCCTATATCTTAGTGCCTCT